TGAGATATCGGTTGTAGAAAGGCATGGCCTGCACGTACAAAACGGCTAAACCTGCCAGGTATCGCCCTTGAGCTGGTCATAGTCTAGTGCGCATGATGAGAGCGTTGTGTTGAGCAGAAGCGTAACGGGCATTTGGAGTAGCGGTGAAAAATCAATTGAGAAATGGTAATGTGTTTTTCATGTATTAATTTTTCCTCAACCAATCGAATTGTTTCGATATTTGATATGTTGTGCCCCATAATGATGCAAATGACATGCAACATTTTTCTCGTTAAAGGAGGTGGGTGGAACTTGCTTTTTTTGTCTGACAGCGATCCCTTGTAGCGCGGTGTAGCGCGTCAACGCGCGTCATTGCGAAATCTTAACGCTGCCTATAACTTATCAAAACTTGGAACGAGTTGGCCAGATGAGAGAAGAATTTTACATCAAAAACGGTTGTCAATTGATTTTTGGCTGCTACTGCACGTCCGTCTGATAATACTGGTAAAAGAGGGTAGAAGAAAGCGAACCTCGCTATAAGGCCTCCATGGCTCTCGCCGTTGTTGTTCAATGAGTGGCAAGTATTGTATAGCTTTCCTGTGTTCCCGATCTCTATCCTGATCGACTTTCTTCTTACCACCAGCAAGTTCGAATATTTTCTTCTTTTCTTCTGTGCGTTCCTAAATAACATTTAATTTGAACGAATTGAACTATCCACTGGTATATTTTCCAAACATTTTCTACTTGCAGAAATACATTCGATATTACTTATCAGCAATTATGTTGTTCCAGTAACAACTTCCATTAATAACTAATATTGTCGAAGGAGTCATAGTACAAAACCAAGTAACCAGTTGCTTTAGCACGTAACAGTTTTTCAGATAAAAGATCAGGTCAATCAAAACTCATTTTTCAGCTGTACCATCAGAGCATCCAGCGCATTCAGTCGTCAAAATTATGAAATCTGACGTGCCACAGATGTCGAGGTTTTTTTCGAACTCTAGAGAACTTCAAGAGAAACATTTATAATAAGAGTAATGCTGGTCTCTGCTCTATAAAGTAAATGTGGCGAAAGAAGGATAAGAGGAGTTACTTATACACTCTCACTTTACTTCCATTGTTGAGACGCTCACCCTGACCTTAGACTTGAATAGCTGAAGCAAGTATACAGGTCACGGCTAGCATTTTCCATTCGCCACCTGCAACAGACTTTTTTGTGCGTAGTGACTGCAGGGTCGGTCACTAGTTTTCACGCGGAGGTCGTCTTTTTCTCTGGGAATGGGGTGGATTTCGTATATTGTCGTTAAGAGAGAGGAGGGGGTGTAGTTATGTGCCTTTGAGAGAAATTTGTCGCGTTGGTTTTCCGCTAGTTGGCTTTTTGTTGAGGTTTTTCCTGTTCATGTGCACTATATACCCCCTCCTCGTTCCGCTCGACAGCAAAATTTGTCGGTGAAAACTGGAAAATGTGGTGGGGAATTGGTGGGTGGGTGCTGGGGAAGGCGGGGGGGGTCGTACCTACACCACCACCTCACACATCACCATGATGTACCCTGGTGACAGGGAACGACCTACACGAGGATGGGCTGCATAACATTAGATGGGCACGCCGGGTTTTAGTTCTCTATTCAGCGCGTGTTAAGCGACTATACCATTAGAGGTTCACTACTTGGGGCGTTGCAGTCAAAATACGGTGATATCGAGTTGTTCAAAGGCACGATCCACGATTGCAAGGCGAGGGAAGTGAAGTAAACTAATGAAACCGTGAAACTGGGTGAACCAACTAAGTGGCTAAACCAACTGATTGGTTCGCTCGCAATTTTGTGGAAAGCAGAAAAAAATCGTTGAAATGCTTTAACTACAGTCTCGTGAGCTCAGACGCTAGAGCATGTCGCGTGGTGCCAGCCACCAACTCTGGTGGCCTGTCACCTTCCACTATTGGGGGAAAACGAGCTGTCGCCGCGCCAAACCCAACTCCCTGACACGCCCCAGCGTCTATAGCGAACAAGACTGTAGAATGAGCAGTTGATTTTGAAGATTGTATTAGCATTATAAGAACAGCCAGTGAGATCTCAACGAGACCTAAAGACGAGAGGACAGAAGAAAGGTATCTCTCTGTTAGAAAGGCACTATTCATCCCTTTACTGCC